CTATTCTATTCTATTCTATTCTATTCTATTCTATTCTATTCTATTCTATTCTATTCTATTCTATTCTATTCATAAGTTAATTAGTTTAAAACCCTGTCATATAGGATCAAATAGTAAAATAAAAAATTCAGCAGTACAAAGGTTTTAGTGAACAAATATTTCTTCAGATGACAGAAAATGAATAAGGATGGAATTATACAGTTGCAGAATTTATTTTAAAAATCTTCTTTCTTTGCATAGAAACCTTGTCCCCTCACTATTTATTAAAAATATATATATGGCCACCCAACTTGAATAATGTGACTCTGGATGGCAATATATTTACTTATATTTATTATTTTCTCGTACTGTTTGTCCCAAAACTTCATATACAACTTTTTTTTAGTTGATCATACAGCATATGCTGTTTGGGGATGCATAAAAAAAGCATAGATTCCTTCAGGGAATATGTATCCTCATATAAAAAGTACATCACATAACACTTCATAACTATGCAGGTGATGTAGCAAAGATATCAACTGTTATTGTTATTGTTATTATTGTTGTTATTGTTATAAAATCTGATAAATTTGGGCTACATGGGTTTGCCTACCAATATATTCTCTTTGGTTTTCTGAGAAAAATGGTGTATATGGTATAATCAGTTAATTAAATATGCATGAAGGTGGAAATATTTTTACAGTTTGTGATTTCAACTCAAACAGTTCCAGGCAGGTCTTTGATTTCTATCTTTATTTTGTAAGGGTGGATAATGTTGGAATACCACATCTAAAAATAAAATAATTTTTCAATAGTTCATTTAAGACAAGTTGAAAATCCTTAACATAGCTTCAGCGGCTACCAGAATTAATAAATTAACTGAATAAGATAACCTAGAATCTTATCACAACAATTTGATATTGATACCAAATAGGGATACTCTTTACCAGATAAGTTTTTCTTACTGTTTAAAGTTGAGGTTAGAGTAAATAGGTAGCTCCTACTCCCTCACCATCTTGTTATGCAATATAGATTATATGCCTGAAAAGCTGACAACATTCAATTATTACTGAAAAGGGAGAAAAGATTAGTTCTTGGAATCAGAAATAAGGAATGGCCATTTGAATCCCATATTTAATTTTTGGATAATTAAAGAAATAAATGGATGATTAAAGAAATAAATGTTTAAGATGCTTGTAAATTATCTGAAATATACATTTAACTAAGCAGGCTTTTTAAATTGCAGGACGATTCACTTGTAGTATGGAAGGAAGTGGATCTTACCAGATTGTCAGAAAAAGAGCGGCGTGATGCTTTGAATGAGATTGTTATTCTTGCTCTACTGCAACATGATAATATCATTGCTTATTACAATCATTTCATGGATAACACCACTTTGCTGATTGAACTGGAATATTGTAATGGTGAGAAAAATGTCTTGTAAACAGCAAACTTATCTTCCATCTTGAGTTCTGCAAGGAGAGATGGAACAGAGAGAATCTGTGCTTTGTTTATAAATGTTAGCTACAGGTAGATTGACAAATGCAAACAAAATTTACCTTCTAGGACTGCATTTATATTTCAGAAATATATACTCTGTAGTTGGTGAATAAGAGACACTTAGGATCAGAACTACCTGAAAGAAAGATGTGGTACTAAATATACAGCCAGTTTGAGGAGATTTGCAGAATAAATAGCGAAAAGAAAATTAAAAATACAATGACAAATAATCTTTTTATTTTAAGCCATACATGATTCTCCCTTCTCCTGTATTAAATATTTTGGATTACATTTTTCCTTCCTTGTAAAACTCTGTAATCTTACTTTCTCATTAATGTTACAAATTACTAACATCAGAGGAATCATTATTTATTTAAACTTAAATTTCATTATTTTCCCAAGTTTATTGAACCTTTATCTGTAACATCTTTTGAGGTTTGGATTAAAAATGGCAGCAGTAGCAAAGAATAGAGCAGAAATGAAAATCCTTTTTTCCACAGAAAAAAATAGGAAATCATTAACATCCCCTGAGGGATTTTTAATACACAGACAGAGAATGTGTGAAATTTATAACTCAGTATTTTTCTGTCTTGCAGGTGGAAATCTCTATGATAAGATCCTACGACAAAAAGACACATTGTTTGAAGAAGAGGTAATAAAAACATTGGGAGACAAAGAGCAATCTGCTTCTCTTTTATTCAAGCTTGATAATCAGAGTTGGAATGGGCCTTATAGGTCATCTAGTCCAACCCCCCGCCCAAGCGGGAAACCCTAAATGATTTCTGACAAATGGCAGTCCAATCTCTTCTTGAAAGTCTCAAGTGATGGCGTTCCCACAACTTCCGAGGAGAAGCTGTTCCATTGGTTGATTGTTCTCACTGTCAGAAAGTTTCTCCTTATTTCCAGGTTAAATCTCTCCTTGTTCAGTTTCCATCCATTATTCCTTGTTTGGCCTTCAAGAGCTTTAGAAAATAGCTTGATCCCTTCCTCTCTGACAGCCCCTCAAATATTGGAAGACTGCTATCATGTCTTCCCTGGTCCTTCTCTTCATTAGACTTCACTTGATTGGCCTTTAGTTTGGTTTTAAAATAGTCTTCCTCAATCAGATTACCTCTAGGCATGCTGAACTATAGATCCCATAATTTCTAGCCTGTATAGGAATTATGGAAACTGTAGTCCAATACTTTCAGAAGGGTTCCTCCAACTGTATAGAGGTAGGCAGCAAATAGTCTCTACAGTAAAAAAAAAGTTAATATAAACCAAACACCACCAGATTACCACAATTTATGAGTTTTGTAAATACTGATATCTTCTGTTCACTTGTGTAGAAATGTGAATTCATAGGACTTTTGGGGGAAAGTCTTTTTCATATTGAGGTCTTGTGAGATATTTGATAATCTCAGATTTAAAAAATAATAAGTTAGGGACTTTTCAAACGCCATCAAGAGGCTTGTGAGTATATATATCATGCAAGCATTGCTCTGTCACCCTCCAGCAACTGCTGTAGAGTAAGGAAGTTATGTAGCGAAATGGAAAACTCCAATCTGATTATATGGAGGGTACCTTTCCTTAGTGCCTTGCACTAAGTCCTGTAGGAAAGTATACATAACGAGAAAATTTGTATTATGTACATTTTAAATATTTGTGTGGTGCTATAGATTTTACTACAGATTTCCTATAGCCTACAGCTTTCATAAAGAATTTGTTTATTACTGTCACAACTCTTAGAATACTTTTCCTCCACATTTCATATTTAAAAGAATGGAGCAATTTTTTCTGTACTCCTAAAACAAATTGCTAAGCAGAAAGATTCATGCATTTGTTTTTATATATACAATTGTTAGGCTATTGTTATATCAGTTTACTGTGTGATGTCATATATGTTCGCTGTGTCCAGTGAGGCATATTTTCTGTTCCAAAATACGTTTTGAATTTCAACTTTAGCACTTTCAAGTCATCTTATTTTTAAAAAGCCATTTTTTTAAAATAAGATGTTATTAGTCTTTATAATAATTTCTTTCTATGTGATTTTTTTTTTTTTTTTTGCAGATGGTAGTGTGGTACCTCTTTCAGATTGCATCAGCAGTGAGCTGTATCCACAGAGAAGGAATTCTTCACAGGTACTTTAACTCAGGTCCAAAAGAAGACAAAAATTCTGACTGTTGACTTGACAGTCCTTTCTCCTAAAGGAAAGACAGATAAATATTGATATATAGTTAAATGAGAATTCCTCAAATTGCATACAACCAGATATATAATATATGAAAGGCCACATTTTGTAGCATCACGCATCTGACAAGCATTTTCATAATATTAACTGAATTACAACTTCATAATTGTAATTCCATATGATATAAAAAGTAATGGATACAATGGAGAGATCAAGTAGGCTTAGATTCCTGTTCTGTAGTGAAGTTCATTGAGTGAGTTTGAGCAAAACACCTTTGCCTAAATATCATCACAAGGCTGCTGTGAGGTTAAAATGGATTGGGAAGAAACCATGTCCATTATTACCTTGAGCTCCTTGTAGAAAAAGTGTCCTATAAATGAAATACATAAGTATTATAACTATGAAGTATCCTAGAAGCCAAATATTTAGATTGGCATATTATTTCTTGTAACTATTACTTGACATTTTGTAATTTTGCTTCTTATTAACTTTTTAACCAGTGGATCATAATAACTTTATTCAGCAATTATAAGTTGTTGCATTCTGAAGCCATATTAATTTGACTTTATTTTCATTCTAACTGTCTTTATGAAAGAATACATTTTCTGAATTTCTTTGGTGATAACACTCTCAAGTAGCAGAATCTAGAAAAAAATAGCCTTCTTGAAGTAAAAAATTATACAGTTAGAAATACAGGTCTCAGATATTCTTATGTCCAAATTAGTAGGGTTGTAGGATTCTTTTTAAAGTTAAAGTGTTTGAACAATTTTGTTCTTTTACATGTATGGTTCATAAAAGTCATAAAGTATTTTTTTTAAATCAAGGATTCTGCCATGAATTTATGTTCTAGTCCTCATATCTGAAGAAACAACACATTCTCATTAACTATTCATTGCTTTCAATAATTAAATCTTGAATAAGATTAAAGTGATTTAGAAACAAACATATCTGTACCAATTGTAGAAATCAGTTTTACCTTTTTTGCCCTTTTATTTCATTTTCTGCTTATAAAACTAGTATTAATGATTAAAAGGTGTAAGAACCATTCTTTAGGATTGTCGGCATGGTATGGAAACCGTTAGATAGTGAAATAGGTTTATCTTTATCTTAAAGGCCTTCTGCACAAGGACCTTTATTCTGAGGTTAAGCTGTACTACCTCTTTTGATCATCGGATTTCTTCACTGGCCCTGGTCTCTTTTCATACATGTTTTCATGCCTTTAACTACCTGGCATTTTGCATCACTAAGAATTATACTACATTAATAATAAAGGTGTGAATTAAGCGGATGAAAATTTTTGTAATCATAAAAATTGCTAACAAAGATCATAGTTTGTAATCTCATATATTAATCAAAACTAGACATACATACATACATATTCATATAGTATTACATAATTGATTGGTTAGTATTTAAATTTGTTTACTTAATAAAGAAATAAAATTAACCATAAAGTACTATGTGCAATTCCCTATTTTTAAATGATACTCCAGTTGGGACTTCTGGTTACAAAATTACTGTTCAGACATAGACAGAGAAGCAAGTGCTTCTGAGTGTGGTGTAATTGACACAGAGGCGGTAGTTTTCTAAGCTTGTAATTTTTTTTGGCACTATAGAAACTTGCACTATGCATTTTTAAACCATTGATATTAATTCAAATGCATATAAGGAATACCAAAAAATATGCTACAGAACAAAATTAATATATGCAATAACTTCTCTTGAAAAAGAGTTATACAATCATATCCATAATAACTAAAATTGGATGGGTTCAGCTGTCAGAAATCTAGTACTCAAAAAGGATCTCCAACAGTTAACTGAAGCTCTCATATTCTTCCTGAAAAGACAGATAGGTGTTAGAAGGAAATAGCAGGGCCTAGATAATCTCAGCTGATCTTGAAAGGAGCTTAGAGGATCAGATCTGATTAATTTTTGGATGGAAACCACTAGGAAATCCCAAGGCTATAGTTAACCTGGGAAGAACGCAATACTAATACAATAATTGTTATTATTTATATATGTTTATGTGCCGCAATGTCCCAACATCTCTGGGCAGCTAATAGCAAACAATAGCAAATGCTTTTGGATGGTTGTCCAAGAAAACCACATGACTGTTATCTAATCAGCAGTTATAACACTTAGTTTGAGTGAATACCTTTAAATTCAAATACTTTTTAAAGTTAATCATAATTTTCTATGTACATGCCAAATTAATCTTCTAGATATGTGCTTTGTAAACAACATTATTTTTTAACCATCTATAAACCCCAAGCATTTACCTTATCTATTTTTCCTGCGTTATTATGTAATTCTGTGCGTATCTGTCTAGGTCCCATTGAGTTTGACGGGGCTCCCTCTCAGAAAGAAGAATATAGGGCTGCCTCCTCATTGTACTTCAACTTGAAATTATTCTAGTATCTACTTTAAACGCAGTACTAAATTAGCCTGCTTTAAAACTAAAAAATAATATCAGCTTGCATCACATGATAAAGCTTAAGAACCTTGAAAACAATGTAAGACTGTACACACGAAGAGGGTATTAATGCCTTCAGAATACAGGTAGTCCTCGATTTATGACCACAACTGAGCCCTATATTTTTGTTGCTAAATGAAACATTTGTTGAGTGAATTTTGCCCTATTTTATGACTTTTTGTGCCACAGTTGTTAAGTGAATCTGGCTTCCCCACTGACTTTGCTTGTAAGAAGGTTAGAAAAGGGGATCACCTGATCCCAGGACACTGCAATGGTCATAGAAAGTCAGTTGCCAAGCACCCAAATTTTGATCACGTGATCATTGGGATGCTGCCACAGTCGTAAGTGTGAAAAATGGTCATAAATAACTTTTTTCATGCCCTTGTGACTTTGAATGGTCACTAAATAAACTGCTGTAAGTCAGGGACTATCTGTGTTAACAAAGTGAATATATTTTTTAAAATGTTCCATGTCTGCTGATATAAATATTTATATCTAAATGTTTCTTTCCTAGAGATATAAAGACTTTGAATATCTTCCTCACCAAAGCAAATCTTATAAAACTGGGGGACTATGGCCTAGCAAAAAAACTGAACTCCGAGTATTCTATGGCTGAAACTGTAAGTGGCTGCAGGATGAATGTGATGATGATAATGATGATGATTCAGCTGTGTGGGACTTTATAACAAAAGTATTTACATTTGCAATTCAGATATTTGAATTCTTTGAATTTACATGTTTTTCAATAGATTTTTTTTTTATTAATATATGGCTGCTCTCCTCCCTATAGGTCAGGGGTGTCAAACTCACGCCCCATGGGCCGGATGTGTCACGTGCTGCCCCTGCCCGGTTTAGCGAAGGGGGAAAAAGTCCCAATACGTCACATGACAATGCCATGACGATGCAAGTTTGACACCCCTGCTATAGGCCTCTAGGAGGACATTTCAGGCCTGTTTCTTTCTCTAGGCATTTGGGTCAGGATCAGCAGAGTCCCCATTGAATGAGTTACATCTAGGAGTTCTAGTCACTGTGTTATTATTAGTTGTTTTTGTCTCTGTTTTGTGTTTGTTGTAACTTTTGTATGCTGTTAGAATGACATTGTTGGAGTTGGGTGATCATATAAATGCTCTATAAATAAATACATATTCACAAGACTTGTTTTGAAAGAAATAACAAACTGATTATATCATAATCTAATGATAGAATGTTTATGTTGGCATTGGCAAATCTTTTTTCTCTTTGTCCTGTTTGTTTAGTATAATTGTAGAATTGTCTGATATCTTTTTGTTTTGACTATTTGCTTCAGTTTGCTTTCTTTTAAAGATTCAATCTTTATATTAAGAAAAAGTAGATGCTCTAGTTATAAATAGGAAAATACATATTTGATAAGATTCAATTATTACTTTTCTACGAATATGCTAAAGCAAAATCCGAGCATTTGGGAGGGAAGAGGATAAAACGAGAGCAAATTAGAACTTATTGCATTGTGTCTGCATGATATGGAATAACTAATCTAATATCTCTAATATTTTTGTTTTGTAGCTGGTAGGAACTCCGTACTACATGTCTCCAGAGCTCTGCCAGGGAGTAAAATATAATTTCAAGTCTGACATATGGGCAGTTGGCTGTGTTGCTTTTGAGCTCCTTACCTTGAAGAGAACTTTTGATGCAACAGTAAGTCACTCTATGAATAAACAACTATGCTCGTGATTAATACTGCATCACCTTTTTTATATCACATTGTCCTATGGTGATTGATTAAGAGAGGGTGACTCCAATTTTAGGTACCATATGACAGTGAAAGTTCTAGGTGAACTATTAAATTCTCATTTTGACATCCCTTTGCCTTTCTGGAGTTGCTTGCTGTCTTGGAATGCAGGTAAAATTGGAATTTATTCAGGGGCTGAGACGATTAAAAATACAGTTTCACAGGCCATCATCTCAGGAAGTTTCTCCTATTCCATTTATATCCAGCATGGCTGGCTGGGGAATTCTGGGATTTGAAGTCCACGCATCTTAAAAGTTGCCCAATTTGAGAAACACTGATTTAGATCATTTTGCTTTTTCTTCCTTAGAATCCCTTGAATCTCTGTGTGAAGATTGTGCAAGGAAACCGGGCAATGGAGGTTGATTCCAGCATATACTCTGTGGATCTCATCCAAATGGTGCATTCCTGCCTTCATCAGGTTGGTGAGCTACCTCCATTCTGTGATGGGTTTCTTTGGTTTGAGAGAGAGTGGAGAAAGAGCCTTTGAAACTTTTTACCAGCTGTCAGGTACTAAAAGGTCCTTATCAACCCACTTGCTTTCTCTAGAGTAGGAAATTAAAAGAACTAACAGTGTGGTTTTTGAGAACTATTTTCAGTGTTGAATATTTTCCCCCTTTTTTTTGATTGAATGGTTTACTATTGCTTCCCATTTCCCTGTCTTTTCTCAACTACATTTAAAAATCATATACTATAAAACAGAAATGAAATAATGTTTATCTTTCTTTTTTGTTGCCCCACATTTATTGTTCTTTTTTAACCATAAAGAAAGCAAAACTATATAATCTCTTCCAGAAGTAAAAAAACAAAAACAAAATTTAGCTTCCCACCCCAAAGACATATAAAAACATACTGGCTTTTAGCAACTTCTCCCATAGTGAAATTTTTATTTCATCTTTTAGACCCACTATCTTTCAGTATGAAAATTATGAAGTAGCCCAGAATCAAATTTGACCTTGAAGAATTTTTATTTCAAATAGAAAAATGTATTTTTTTTTTAAAAAAAACCAGTAGCTATTATAAAAGAAATGAATCAAATGAGACTTAAGTTTACTTCACACACAGAAGTTCAATTTCAGTTTAAAGATGGCCTCTTTTTATTTTCAGCTTTTGAACAGGAGTCTTTCTCTGAAGTCATCAAATATTATGAGCTGAGTCGAGTCTGAGAGGCTGGATTTTCTCTACAGATTAGTTGTACATTGCACATTGAGATACCATAGTCGTCTTTTTTCCTATAGAGATCTACTTTGGTTTTCTGAGTCAAGGTGAAAGGGAAATTTCTATGGTAAAACAGCAAAAGGAAAATTGCTACAATAAATTAGCAAAACCATTCTATTTATCTTTTCTAGCAGATAAGTCAAATCTTGACATTATTCCTCCCCACATGCTGACAAACCCAGCCCACAGCCTGGTATTGGTGTTAACTTTGAAGTCAGTATGAGGCCTCGCTGTTCTTGGCAAAGTGGATTGGCAAATATTTTGGAGAAATGGGTTGGAAGGATTGGTGGAAATGTAGAAGTTATATCTCTTTTTCTGTCAGCAGAAAAACAAGTGTGATAGCACACACTAGTTATAAATTCAGTGAAGATAATTTCGGTTTAAATGCTAAAATAAAATGCTTCATTTAAACACTAAAAAGTTGCCATGCCTTGTTTGGAAATATGTAAGAGGAGAAGAAGACCAGCAAAAGAGATTTAGCGGTCTCTTTGTTACTGCACTCAGGGTTCCACTTTTATTGTTGCTTAGCTTCATCGTTAAGTGTCTTTCTTGGATACCTTCTTGAATACATAAGCACTATTAAACTATCTGAGCTCATTTTATGGTCCTTTTGATTTGCTATGTTTGGGGAAACGGAAAGAGACCACAAAGATGTAACTTATTCATTGCCCTAGATTTAAAGATTTGAAAAATGATCCCTCTCCTTAGGGAGTGATCTGTCACTCACCTCTTTTAGGATCCAGAGAAGAGGCCTACTGCTGATGAGCTACTTGAAAGTCCATTTATAAAGAAGCGCAGAAGGTAAATATTAAACAAATAGGTTTTTTGTGTGTGTGTTAGAAGATACTATACAATCTTGTATTGCCTGATTGTACTGGTGTCTCATGTATATATAGACTATCTCTTGAGCTAACTGCTTTTTTAAAGATTAAATGACACTTAAGTTTTTTGCAGCACTGAATTAAAAATAAGAATAAGCATAGATTATTTAACTTAGAAACTGAGCTGTACATAGGGTTATACAAATTTATTTCAGTTTTACCTGGCTTATCTCAAGCTTCTATTTTAATGTATAAAATATATTGGATTATATTTAGAGAAATAAATGCATGCTAAAAATTATTAGACAACATCCTCTGATTAGTTTTATTTATAAAAATAAAATAGTAAAAATCAGGAGGAGGAGTGCTTTCTAAACACATTTCATTAAAAGGTGTAAGCCTTTATGCAAGCTTATGCAAATCACAAAAACCTATGCCTGTGTTAATAGAATTTGCTACTAGAAAAGCATGTTACCTGATTCCTTCTGATTTTTGCCAACAGATTTACACTGCTCTCAATATTGGTCTCCAAATTAAACTGACAAATAAACTCTTACGTTTGGTCTGGATTAGTGTCTCTAGAAACATAATGTATTATGTTTCTAGAGGGAACACTTTTCCAGAAGAGGTTTTTTTTTAAAAAATGCAGGATGGCAACTTTTGTCAATTTCTTCTTTTCCCTACAAGTCTTAAGCAATAAAGCCCCCCCCCAATAAATAAATAAATAAAAATCTTTGAGAACAAATTTTTGATAACATAGGGGCTGAGGAGAATCACAAATTTACTCCCTCCATTTCCTGTTTATGAGAGCCCCCAATTTACATAGTTAACAACACTGAAGCATGTCCATTATTTTTTCAGGCTATATTAATCTATACATGTTATGGATATTGTGTATTTCAAGCATTGATTAACACAGCTTATTATGTAGAATTTTCATTATTTACTATAGACAGACATTGTCTGTAGCTTACAGTACAATTTTATGAAAAGGTTATTTGCAGTATTAAATCATACAAAGATTTCTGTTAAAAAAGCTGTATTGATGCACATTCTTACTGTTTATTCTTCCTGGTAGGGATATGGAGGAAAAAGTTGCACTTCTTAATGGCCCAAACAAACGACCAAGGTAAAGGAATATGTGTTGAATAATAAAACAGAAGAAAATGGTCTCTGCAAGTATCTTAACATGAGCACCTCTCCCAAAAGTGTTAGAATAGTGGTGTTCTTTGGAAGGATCCCTTCATTGGTCCAAAGACTATCCCTAAGCTCTCTGTGTGTGCATGTGTTTATACAGTGGAAGGGGCCAACCTAGATAATAAAGTAGTAGATATCTGAAGAGTTCTTGCAGGGCAGGTAGGCAAAGCTGATACATCAGCCTCCTTTCTTTCTGTCTCCTCCTTTTCATGGCCTCTGCACTAGCCAGCATCATATTTGTCCTTACCTCTCGTAGATGTTCCCATGCTTGAATTCCACTGCTGCATCTTCATTTCAAATGCAGCATAACTAAAAACAGTCAGCTATCTTTTCTTTCAAGCTTCCCAGGGTCTTCTTTTATTTCCTGTTAGGTATTGCCATCAAATATTGCCATCAGGAATGGTATAATCCAACCAACTGTCTACCCTATTTTCCTAGCACCTTTCTACCCCTTTTGGTGGCACTAACAATGGCTTTGCCTTTCCTCCATTGTCTGCACCCTGCAATATTTATGCCCAGGTGTGTGTGTTCCTGCCCAGGCCAGATGTACACATTGGAGGGCCAGGTCCTTTGGTTTGAGCACAGACCATAGGCATGTCTTTTGGTCCAAGCATAGATCACTTGAAACTGACTGTTCCTCACTGAACCTTTTGCATAACTTTTCTTGGTATATAATCACTATAAAAGAATGCTATCTTTAAGACATTTAATTGTAAAATATGCAAGTGTTGAACTATTATAAGTTATATTTAATTTTTACTTTTATTGTTAACCATGCCCATCATTTACTTTAGATTTCTATTTACTTTACATCAGTCCCTACTTATAAATGGTGCTGTATTACTGAACAATTTACATATACAGCTAAAAATGCCAATGATTTAATTTGTCAGTGTATTTGTATACCCTTCTCACAAGTTTATTCATGTCACTGCCTTTAAAATTTCAGAAGTTGTATATGTATATATGTCTTCAAATTGATTTCTGATTTTTATTTGTCTTGTAACATGCTGCTTTCTTCCACATTTCCATGCTGTCTGTCTAGCCTCTGAACCTAATACATGCCAATGTACATTTATATATATGGAAAACTCTTAGCACTTATATGAAGTGTTTTTGCATGGAATCTGGAAATTAAAATTTTCCCATCTATCTTCTCTTTAGAGGCTTAGAAAAGCAGCTCATGGTAAACAGTGTATCCATACAGATCTCTTGTGATTTACAGAACAAGTACTATGAATGAAGCACCTATTGCAGTGGTGACTTCACGCACTAGTGAAGTATATGTATGGGGAGGTGGAAAGTCCACTCCTCAGAAGCTGGATGTTATTAAAAATGGCTGCAGTGCACGGCAGGTCTGTGCAGGAAACACTCACTTTGCAGTGGTAACGGTGGAGAAAGAGCTCTATACTTGGGTGGTAAGTATCAAAAGAATTTGTGGAGGTTGGGGGGGATTCTCCAAAACATTATTCTTTTATATCTGCCATCAACGAAGGGATCAAGTGCTTCTAGGAATTTGCATCTTGTACTGCAAGGAAGTCATCGTGACAGTTCACATTGGCTACTCCAGAAGTGCTAATGGTCAAATCTGTAGAGGACTTTCCATTCCAACCAGCACTTGAACTCAGGCAGAAAGGACCTCATGAAAAATAGATATTGAAATAATGCTGGAAATAATATTCAGCCACTACAAATAATAGCCTTATCTTGGAGAAAAAGACATAAGAGACATATGTATGTGAAGACAATATAAAATGGAATTTAACTCATATTAAATGTTAAGTCATATTAAATCCATGTTAAGGAAGGGATTTTTTTCTTGTTAATTCCCAGTTTAATGTTTTGTTTTGATATATGCTACATTACTGTTGATATGTGATACTATTACATAAGCAGAAAATACACATCTCTGTTTTTACTCCATCTATGGGTACCTAAATGGTATCCCTCATTCAGTGAGTTTGCATACTATAAGCTGGCTTCCAAATATGAAGAGCTTTTCTCTTTCTCCACCTCCCACATCTTCCAAAAAGTATTCCAAAATCTGGATGGTTATCTGGAGCAATATTCCATAGGATACCTACCCCCCCAAAAACCGCTATAATTATTATTTAGATGCTGAAGGAAAACCAGGCCACTTCTGTGGAAACACGGAGGAATATAGAGGTCTCTCTGGTTCCTAGACAGTGTACATTATTTATTTTGGTTTCTTTTCATTAACAATATTCCTTGGCTCTTAGATCACCTTATCAAATGTATTTTTTTAATAGAACATGCAGGGAGGCACTAAACTGCATGGCCAACTGGGACATGGAGATAAAGCTTCGTATCGGCAGCCTAAGCATGTGGAAAAATTGCAGGGCAAAGCTATTCGTCAAGTATCTTGTGGTGATGACTTCACAATCTGCATTACAGGTGAGAGACATAGGTGACAGGGTACCTTCAAATATATGAAAAATATTGTGGAAGGACTGAAAAAGTGTATTAACTAAAAGAGAAAATACCTCAAATACAAGACAATATGCAATACTCAGGTATTGATAAATCTGGAAGGAAGACAAACCTGCAGCAGCTGGAATTAGGAAAACTTCCAAAAGCCTACTTATATTTGTTTTGTTTTCTTTGAAATGCCAGTACATTAGCTTTTATATTACATTTTTTGATTGAGTGTATACAATCATTAAAACGAAACAGAAGCAAAGATTAAAAATATATAGACTATAAGTGGCAGTCTTTATCTATATACTGTATTTTTCGCACTCTAAGACGCACCTGACCATAAGATGCACCTAGGTTTAGAGGAGGAAAATGGGTAATGACAAAGACAGAAGAGGTAGGGTTCAGCACTGTAAAAGGACCCCGCTGTCACGGCCCTATTTTTCGCCCTATAAGACGCACTTTCCCCCGCACCCAAAAGTGGGTGGAAATGTCTGTGCATCTTATGGAACGAAAAATAGGGTAATTCAAATCTGGGCCAGACTGTAGGTGTCAACTAAAACAATACTTCTTTGGTCTTTTTAGTTGCCAGCAGAAAGGGACGGGGGGAAGTGGGGCACTCCTTAAATGCTTCAAATAATTGCTAGGCAGCAGAAGCTGTTGGTGTGCAAGAGTATTATTGGAGAGCATGATTGATGACTCTTGGCTATGGATGTGTCCCATTGGAGAATATACATCCAGGGGCTGGAGGGAAGACCAGGGTCACAGGTGAAATGAATGATATGTTTAGTGTCAGCTGCATCCAGGTAACACTGACATGGTCAGTCCTAATAAATCTCTTTTTTTTTACAGTGAGAGATGCGGCTAGAGACTTATGATTTGAATGGGTGTGTCTTGTCGGAGCCTTGATAGCCAGCCGACATTAAACACATTCATTTCACCCTTGACCCTGGTCTCCCCACCCTCCTGATGTATATTCTTCAATGGGACACATCCATAGCCAAGAGTCATCAGTCATGCACTCCAGTAATACTCTTGCATGCCAACAGCTTCTGCTGCCTAGCAATTATCTGAAGCATTTAAGGAATGCCCTTCTTTCTCCACTCCCTTTCTGCTGGCAACTAAAAAGACCAAATAAGTATTTTTTTTAGTTAACATTAGGATGCTGTAGTAAATTAAGCATAATGGACCTAGCTTGATCCAATTAGGTTGCACTGTAGTTAAATTCTCCCTGTATTAAAGAGGAAGATAACCATTGGATTTTTAAGTACATCCTCTGTTATTCATCTATCCCTTGTTTTCATGCAGATGAAGGTCAAGCCTTTGCCTTTGGTTCAGATTACTATGGCTGCATTGGCGTTGACAAGGCTTTTGGGTCTGAGGTCCTGGAGCCCCGGCAGATCAATTTTTTTTTCAGTAATCCGGTGGAACAGGTTTCTTGTGGAGATAATCATGTGGCAGTGCTGACACGAAATCATGAGGTCTACACATGGGGCTGTGGAGAATATGGTAGGTTATTCTACATGCAGTTTTTAATTTTTGCCAAAGATTAATGACTGATAGAATTATATTTCCTTGAAGCACTATCATGATAGACCAGATTAAATGAGGATTTCTACTTCTGGAAAGGTAGATGGTTGGTGGTCAGCTTTCTTTGAATCTGAACATCATTACCTGTACTCATTTTTATTGTTTCTCCACAAATATAGGCCGCTTGGGTTTGGATTCAGAAGAAGATCACTCCATCCCACAAAAGGTAAAACTGATTGAATTTGACTGTATTTCCTGGGTCTCTAGAATAATTCAGTCTTGAGATATTTTCTTTCTAATTCAGCATATTAAGAACAAATATCTATTAAGGTTTTATAAATTAATACATACAAGGGGAAAGAATTTTTGATTGGGAGCCATACAGAGTTAGTTAGAAGATGAGCAAATATTTTGTATTTGGATGAATGGAAAAAATGAAACTTTGATTCTAATTTTCCTAATTAGATACATTCATTGTTATAGGAATGGCTAATACATATTCATAAAAAGTTGAAGTTGTAATGTTAATATCTTATTCTACTGCACCAAAAGAGTCAGAAGTTAGTGTGTTTTTCCCTTTTTCTCCTTTACCCTATATTTTTCTCTTCCTTTTTTCCTTCCCCATTTTCCCCAATTTTAATTTTCTTTTGCACTTTATACAAAATTATTTTTAAAAAGGAATATGGGTGACTATATAAACATTTTAAATGAAAAGAGAACAATATTCTGAATACAACATCTTTCCATATGACTCTATCTTACCTTCTATATAAAACAGATGATAGATAGAACTACGCTGATCAAAAAAATAAAGGGAACACAAAAATAAGACATCCTAGATCTGAATGAATGAAATATTCTTATTAAATACTTTGTTCATTACATACTTGAATGTGCTCAATTGGATAGATGTGCTCAATTGGATTCAGGTCTGGGGAACGTGCAGGTCAGTCCATAGCATCAATGCCTTCATTTTGCAGGAACTGCTGACACACTTCAGCCACATGAGGTCTAGCATTGTCTTGCATTAGGAGGAACCCAGGGCCAACCGCACCAGCATATGGTCTCACAAGGGATCTGAGGATCTCATCTTGGTACCTAATGGCAGTCAGGCTACCCCTGGTGAGCACATGGAGGGCTGTGCGGCCCCCTAAAAAAATGCCACCCCACACCATTACTGACCCACTGCCAAACCGGTCATGCTGGAGGGTGTTTTAGGCAGCAGAATGTTCTCCATGGCGTCTCCAGACCCTGTCATGTCTGTCACATGTGCTCAGTGTGAACCTGCTTTCATCTGTGAAGAGCACAGGGCGCCAGTGGTGAATTTGCCAATCTTGGTGTTCTCTGGCAAATGCCAAACGTCCTGCACAGTGTTGGGCTGTAAGTACAACACCCACCTGTGGACGTCAGGCCCTCATATCACCCTCATGGAGTCTGTTTCTGACCATTTGAGCAGCCACATGCACACTTGTGGCCCGCTGGAAGTCATTTTGCAGGGCTCCGGCAGTGCTCCTCCTGTCACACCTTGCACAAAGGCAGAGGTAGTGGTCCTGATGCTGGGTTGTTGCCCTCCTATGGCCTCCTCCATGTCTCCTGATGTACTGGCCTGTCTCCTGGTAGCACCTCCATGCTTTGGACACTACGCTGACACACACAGCAAACCTTCTTGCCACAGCTCGCATTGATGTGCCATCCTGGATGAGCTGCACTACCTGAGCCACTTGTGTGGGTTGTTGACTCCGTCTCATGCTACCACTAGAGTGAAAGCATTCAAAAGTGACCAAACCATCAGTCAGAAAGCATAGGAACTGAGAAGTGGTCTGTGGTCACCACCTGCAGAACCACTTCTTTATTGGGGATGTCTTGCTAACTGCCTATGCTTTCCACCTGTTGTCTGTTCCATTTGCACAACAGCATGTGAAATTGATTGTCAATCAGTGTTGCTACCTAAGTGGACAGTTTTGATTTCACAGAAGTGTGATTGACTTGGAGTTTCATTGTGTTGTTTAAGTGTTCCCTTTATTTTTTGAGCAGTGTAGTATTGCTTTACATAACTAACCAGGTACATCTGCTGTGATTATCTCCATGATTCTAGAATAAGAGTTATCCTATCCTTGCTTTTCTTTTAAATTGCAAATAGTAATTTTTGAAGTGCCAAAGTGATATAAGGTTTTTCTTATATGTGTTCCAAGTGTTACCTGTAAAAAAGTATTTGTCCTTTTTCATTTAACTTACTGTATGCAAGTAGTCCTTGATTTCTGACCAGTTGCTTAACAACTGTTCATAGTTATAATGTCACTCCCCGCTCAAAAAAAAAAACCAACTACTTAATGGCTTGTTTTCAACACCCTGCAGGCAGATGATCAGATTTGGCCACTTGGTAGCCGGCTCACCTTTATGGTCACTTGCTGAGTCACCTGACTGTGATTTTTGACTTTTTTGCCATTTTCCAGTGTTAACTTCAATTTCCTGTAAAAATGCCCATTGGGGAACATTGACTTGCTTAATGACCACACCATTTGTTTGATGACTGTGGCATTCATTTATTGATTGCTGCAAAAAATCTGGACCAGTCATGTGATGCCTCAACCTGCAACTGCAACAACATGTCTAATTCTCGGCTCAATTATGGTTGTAAGTTGAGGATTAACTGTATAAGTTATATTTCAAATTGCTGCAATGGATGACAGTTTGGCTTTATTTTGTAAATCCTCATTGTATTCTGAATAGTGACTTCTTGTCACTAAAGCTTTTTCTCTGTCATGTAGCAGACTAGAAGGAAGGGCTTTGATACTTTCCACAACTGTTGTTTTCTCATTCCAGGTGTCAAGAAACTAACATCTTCTATATAAAAAAAACCCAGAGTCTCTGTTGGTTGGGATTCTGCAGCAACTGCATTTAGTTGTTGAGGTATCTTATGTATTTCTTTTTAGGTAGAAATTCAAAAAACTTCCAATATTGTCTCAGTCCAGTGTGGCAATGATGGAACCTTTCTCCTCACACAAGCTGGCAAGGTGTTGGCCTGTGGTCTGAATGAATTCAACAAGCTAGGCCTGAACCAATGCACTTCAGGGATCATTAATCATGATGTGAGTGGCCTTGTATGAAAATAGGGGGAAATGTTTTCATGACACATTTTATAAATATATTTTTTAAAAATCATATTTGTTAACAGATTGAAAAGAACCAAAGGAGGGCAAATGAATATGGTTTACAATTTCTAGAAATAATTTTATGTGTGTTTGGAAAAGTCTATACAAAAACCAATAAATACTGCTTTTCTTACAAAGAATCTTGTGATATTAAGACATTCTCAAGCTTTACATGCATCGTTCTTGATTAAAGTGTGAGAGCATGTACAGAATCACGGCACTGGATTTATAAAATTGATGTCTTCTCATAGGCTTACCAAGAAATCCCATATGCTATGACTTTCACTTTGGCCAAGAAACTCTCTTTCTACAAGATTCGCACCATTGCCCCAGGAAAGACACATACTGCTGCCATCGATGGTAAGATCAAGTTGTTATCTTGTGATGTAGTTTTATTTCTAGATAAGGGTAAACTAACCTGTAACTTCAGTAGGCTGCAGCAGATTAATCTCAGCAGTGTCAGTTTTGGGTTATTACTCACTCATATGTGACAGCCTGGGAATCTTAAAGCTATTAAGTGAATTGGGAAGTTATAGAATAAAACAAAATATTGGAAGAAGGTAATGCAAACCATCCCAGTAGCAATGAGAGGCAACTGCATGATGCAACCACTAGGAGTTATAGAGTGGTAGCACTTAAAGATTTCTACTGGGTCAGGAAAAGAGATGATTTGAAATTGTATGTAACACAGGTGTCAAACTTGCCACGTCACGTGATGTTTCGTGATGTTTTCCCCATTTGCAGAATGGGTGGGCGTGTCCTGTGTGTGATGGATCCAGCCTGTGGGCCACCAGTTTTAACACCCCTGGTATATAACATAAAAATGATTAGAATGCCTCAGGATTCTCTCTAGTAAGATTGTCTTCTACTGACCTTGGAGTCTTGTGACTTAATTATACCTACACGGTCAGTGGACTAGAGCCATTTTGTTTTCAAAATTCCAGATGGGCCTGTGTCTGAATTAAATTATCTTGATCATAATCAACACATGTGAAACATGTATGTTGGTAAAGATATGATGAAATGATGCCTGTTACCTATTAGAAATGCTTAAGATGAATGTATCTCTTGTCATGCTACCATGAAAAGGAAATCTATAATCCTAGAACAAATAATGATGAAGTGTTCTAAATGATGTCTTGCACTACAGCTCACAACATATTATTTGACAGTGTTTCTCAGCTTTCTGAATTATTAGTTCCTAATGACATAATTGTTTTTATTTCAGAGCGGGGTCGTCTGCTTACTTTTGGCTCCAATAAGTGTGGACAGTTGGGTGTTGGGGATTATAAGAAGCACCTAGGCATTAATTTACTAGGAGGGCCTCTTGGGGGAAAACAGGTCATCAGAGTTTCCTGTGGTGATGAGTTCACCATAGCTGCTACTGATGGTAAGTATAAGCATTAGTAGGTTGGTGTGAATTTCTTTAAACTGAACTGTAAAGAATCAAAAATTGTTTGCTTAGAGATTATAATAAAAAAAAATCTACACTGACTAGAAGGCATAAAATATGTGCAATATATTACAAGACATGAAGTGCTTTTTTGCTTTTAACATAAAATAAAACCTCACAAAACACCATATTCCTATAGGAGTGTTTTTTCACTGTCTATTTTGGGTTGTTATTATATCCTTAAAGAGAAATAAATATAATCATTTGGGAATCCTTCAAACCTAGAGTGGAGTTCTTGACTTTAAGACGATAAACTTTTTATTTTCCAGATAACCATATATTTGCATGGGGTAATGGAGGGAATGGCCGTTTAGCAATGACACCAACAGAAAGAGCTCACAGTTCTGATATTTGTACATCATGGCCACGGCCCATTTTTGGCTCCTTGCATTATGTCCCAGATTTATCTTGCCGTGGATGGCATACCATAATAATTGTTGGTAAGTATAAAAATACTGGGGGTTTAAAGTAGATCATTACTTAATTTTTTCCCTAACTGTAAGATTTAACACATTACTAAGAATGTAAGAATGGGCCTAAGATTCCCCATATTCTTTAAATCAGAGGTCTCCAAACTTGGCAACTTTATGATTTGTGGACTTCAACTCCCAGAATTCTCCAGCCAGCATAGCCAAGTTTGGAGACCCCTGCTTTAAATCTTGAGCTGAGAAAATGTTCTTTTTTTTTTCCAGAAAAAGTTATAAATTCTAAAACCATCCTTCGTTCCAGTAGCAGTGGCCTGTCCATTGGGACTGGTAAGTAATCATGTTGTTAATAATACATACTTCTCTGTTGGGGTAGAAAATATGAGAATAATTTAGAAGAATAGCACATCTCTGCATAAAGTTCAATCTTTGGCATAGACAACTGATTAAGTTGTTGCTTTGAAAGTCACTTCGTTACTGGAAGTCATAATTATCACAGTATAGACTGTAATGAGCTAAGATATAACTGCTAAATAGACTAAAGGCCTTACTATACGAGAATTTATTCTGATAAATCACTTTAGCAGCTTGTTTTTTGCCTTCATTTCATTTATTGGACAATAAATAAAATAATGCAGTTGTTGCCTTGTCTGATATAATAATATAATATGATTCTAAAACTATGATCACATTAAGATGAATTTAATAAAGTGCAATTTGCCTGGGTAGAAGAGGACCAGAATTGGGTAGCAGGCCATCTTTGGAAGACAATTGACATTTTAAGAAACTAGCTACTACAATATTATAGGTCTTTTCAGTCTTCTAGATTTCATTTAATTGCTAGAATGAAATTATGCTTTCCCTAACCAATGTACCTTGCTAAAACACTTCAGTTGCTTGGAATAAATTTTAAATATTTGTAGTCTCTTTCAGAACATTCTGGCAGATATGAATTTTATGGAATCTCTGCTCTTTTTGTGAATGCTTCCCCCCCCCCCCCCACCAAATTAGGTTGGCATTAAAACAAGGAAACTGAGTATAATCTACACAATGATTACAATATGCATTTATGAAAATGATCTAAACAGAAATTGTTGGGAAATTGTTGGGCCAACTGAATACATGGAAAGTATTCCATCAGTTAGAAATAATGATTGAAAACACAATATATACATAATAGGATGTACATTTAAAAAGATATTTTGATGATGTAAGGGGTACATAGAGAGCAGAAAGTGATAGATAAGAAATAGATGAAGAAATTTAAAACATAGATATTTAAATTCAATAAACTTAGAATGAAGAATAATACCTTCCTTTTTCATGAGGTGATTGTATTCTCTGCCACTTCAGCTAACTCAACTGACAATGATTAGTCTAACACTGGATATGGAACAATAGAGATCAACAAAATTAATATATAGAAATGTAAAATTTTTAAAGGGTGGGGAAAGAAAAAGCACAGTTAAGAAGAAAAAGTCATTAAGAGAAAGTTGTTAAATTGGAGATTTACAATCATTTGTAAGGATTTTCAAAATCAGGAGTTTGGTAGCTCTCTTTCAGACTAACAAATGTTATTAACGCCATACACTTTTATGAAGTTTGGATGTACAGGGTTATCATCATGGTGGCAGTTCCTCACTGAACTGTGACTGGCAACTCTGTTATAAATCCCTTTGTTCAGTGCCATTGTAACTTTGAACAGCTGCTAAACAAATAGTCGTTAAGTGAGAACTGAATGGCTGAGTCAATGGTTTTTGATTTTGCATTCTGTCATAAGGATACTTTTGTCTTTTTACATCAACTCCATTCTGACAGTAGTATATACTGTACATTTTCAAGAAGGTCAGATTTTCTTGAAATGAGAAAATATTTAAGATTTTTAATTCTTTCCACTTTTCTGTTAGTGGCCCAGGGTTCTACAGCTGAACCAAATGAGGAAGAAGAAACTGAACAGGATTCTGAGAGCCCTGATAACAGCAGAGGCTTCCGGAGAACTATGGAAGCAGATTGTGGAATGGGAGATCAGATCAGCACCACAGAAGTAGCTGTAGATAGCAGTGCTGCTAGCAGCTCCTGTCCTAGTTGGCTGCGCAAGGTAACTCACTGTTAACTGTGATTAGAAAAAAGGAAAAATAAAACTTTTTCTAATAATTGTCTTGGAATTAATGGATTTTTCCAAAATATAAATGATCTCAATTGGCATTTTTAAAAACCATAATGAAAAATTTAGCAGTAAATTTTCATTTTTGAGAGATTTTTATCATAATTTTTCAGTGAAATAAGAGTTAGAGTGGACATCTTAACTCTGTGGAAAGCAACAAATCCAAATTTGTGCTTGTACAAAATTATCAGAATAAAATTATTTTACTATTATGTCTGATATTTTCTTCTAATTTTGTACTTTAAAATGACCCCTTAAAAATTAATATTGAAGGAGATACAAGCATTTAAAAAAACGAGAAAAAGCTGAAACAAGTTAGTACGATTGTATACAGTATTTAGATACTGTAATTTATAACCCTGAAGAGTAGAATAGAATAGAATAGAATAGAATAGAATAGAATAGAATAGAATAGAATAGAATAGAATAGAATAGAATTCTTTATTGGCCAAGTGTGATTGGACACACAAGGAATTTGTCTTGGTGCAAATGCTGTCAGTGTACATAAAAGAAAAGATACATTCGGCAAGAGTCAATCATAAGGTATAACACTTAATAATAGTCATAGGGTACAATAAGCAATCCAATCATACTAGGAAACAGTCGTTAGTTAAAGTAGTTAGTTTCTCAACAGTTGAAACAATTATTCATTGTAGACAGTATTTCTTTTGATAGGAATGGGATATTGAATTCCATTTCATTCAAAATATATCTCAAAGAATGTACTCTTAATTAGTGTGCTAATATATCTAATGCAACATCAGCAGTTACAATTCACCATCCTCAACGTATTAAGACAGCTAAAAGAAAATGTTAACTTTTTAAATAATTAATTGGTTTCTCATTCTTATTTCTTTTGTAACATCCAACATAAACATGTTGGATATATTTATATGCTTATTTGCTTGCTCTCTTTGTGATATAGGAGTTGGAGAATGCAGAGTTCATTCCAATGCCCCAAACCCCTTCTCTTGAAAGCTTAGCCTCTTCCAGATCTGACAAAGAAACGTTTCCCTACAATGAACTAAAAGGACTCCATATGCCTTCGCCCACACCTGTTGACAGTAACGAATCAAAATCAGAGTCTTGGGTAATGTAAACATCTATAAATATATGGAAATAGTTTATGTAGTTTTGCTTCTGGGTTGGAGGAAGGAATAAGGTGCAAAATGAAAAGCTTTAAAAAATGTTCATCTAAGAGATGAAGTAAGATACATGAAATTATTAGGCTAAGAGGATCTAGATAACTGAGAAGGAAATACAATTCAAACTCATGTATGAGCATGTAAGCTTTTAAGGTTGGATGACAGAAACTGTTCCCCTCAAAACTATAAATAGAGATTTTAAAGAATTGTGTAAGGAAACATTTCATTCTACCCTTATCATAGTTTCACAAAATCTGATTTTATCTTTTATGATTGTAAGCTGCCCAGAGTTACCTTGAGATAAGATAGATGGCCCATAAATTTTATGAATAAATGAAACTGGGAAGACAAAAAATATGAAAACAGCATTAAAAGAAACAGAAAGATTTACAAAAATGATGAAATCTTCCTCATTCCCAAAGGAATATATATTTCAGGTTTATAGCTAGAACATTGGCAGAGATTTGCTAATTAGCTAATATTCTAAAATCATTTAGTATTTTGATCTGTTAGGCTTTTAGTAGTTTTAATCTCCCAGCTATGATTACCTATAGTGATGTGGAAAAGCATTGATTTTCAATTTTCTATAACACTTACTCAAGAATGTACTCGATTTTCTTTTTACAGCAGCTAGTCTTGGATTCAGCAGAATCCTGTGATAGAGGGAAATTGCCTGTGGCATCTGAATGTAAATGCAGTTTTCTGCAGGCTGAAGTGGAACGTCTGAGTGGCTTAATATCAAAGTGCTTGGCAGATCAGGAAAAATTACAGCAAGAAACTGCCCGTCTTAATGCCCAGCTACAAGTTCTCTCTAGGCGACAAGGAACACACCAGGTAAATTTTTAACTGGAAAAAGCTAACAATTACTTTCTAGAGTGAACAATACCTACACCTCCAAGCAAATCTGATGGAGCCTCAGTCACCCTAATTAACTGCAGCTTCTGAATGCGCTTCAAGGACAGCCCCGTGTCCAATTCAGGAGGTGATTAAGATGTGCATGACTAGGAACAGATTGGCACACAACACAAAGTTGTACAAAATTGGTCTTGGCCATGATGGCTTGTTCCTCAAACAAGATTTAGGAATCCAGAATGACCTCCAAATTGCACATTGGTTCTGTTTCTGGTAGTACAAAAACTGCTCAACACTATTGTCTTTAGGATGGCTTATTTAAAGGATAGTAAAACCACCCCCTGAGAAGCCTTAGTTAATCAGTAGGAACATGGGATTTGAATATACAGGTGGTGGCTAAGCTAGGAATCCTTAGAAGCCTTTCTTGGAACCCTAATTCATCAGGACTAACAGGACCAAATTCCACCCAGATAACTACAGATTAGGCATTCACCTTCATAGGACCTACTTCAAAGTTGGAGTTCAATTTGGAGCAAATCTGAGTTAATTTATCTGATAAGTGCCTGACATATTTGTTACAGAGACTTTGCAAGTAATCGTCTGAAACAGCTCTTTCCTGAATGGCCCCAGTTATTTTAAACAAGTCTTGAGTGCTTATTCAGCCTAATTGGAAGCAAGTGGAACTTACTTTATAGCATGTTCATTTATATTTCCCTGCTGAAACAACCAGGATGCTGATAGGATGATACCTTAAGAAAACACACTGGCTTTTCCTCCATTTTCTATGCCTTTTCAGAGCCTTAAAGAATAGAATAGTGTAGCCAACATTGAGACACAAACTAGTTCATAAATAAGCTCCAGCTGAGCAGTTTTATGGGAAGTTTATATTTCAGTAGTATTTCCTTGACAATCTGAGCAAACAACTGTTAGGCCTTCCATGACATTTTATTCTTAGTACATGTGTGGAATTACAGAGATTAGAAAGCTATTGTGGTTAACTATCCAGTTGAAACCATTCCATGTTGTACTATTGCCGGTAGATTTTTTTTTCAATTGTGAATCTGTTTTCTTTTTAATCTGAACAGCTGGAATCTCATTCCAAAGCTACACAAACATCCAAAGAAGAGATGGAATCAGATCCAAAGCCTGACTTGGATTCTGAGTCCTGGTGTCTCCTTGGAACTGACTCATGCCGCTTTAGCCTGTAGTCTTGGAACTTACTCATTTTCAAACAACATTAACTACATGCAGAGAACAGCTTTCCTAGATTCAGGTCTTTTGTGAACAATGAAGTCAAGAGTCTCCATAGCCTCCATGTACACAAGAGAGGAAGCATTGCCTTAAGCTATGAAACTAGGAGGGAATTTAGAGAGAGTGTGAAAACTTAAATCCAAACCAGAGTCTGTGCAGGTATGACAACAGTGAGTTCTCTCAGTGTATTGTTGAGTCAATAACACCCTTCCCAGGAATGGTTCCAGCAGCAGCACTTCGTTTATTTCCTAACTTTCAAAGAACAGCATTGAATCTGCAACAGTATTCACTTCATCTTCAAGCAATTCAAAGATGAAAAATTATTGAAGAGAGAAAGCCAGCAACACCTACATTGACAGTAAAATTGAATGCTCTGAGTTACTTTTAGCTGATAAAGTTAAAGGAGAAGCATCGTAGTCTCTAAGAATGAAGCTTAAAGAAGGGGAAATACTTTAAAAAAATAGATGAAAGCATCCTAACAAGAAAAACTATTTATATTCATTTCTAAACACATAGGCATGACTCTGCAGATAACTTATAGTTTCAGGGATGTTGGAGAAGGACATCAAGCACCCCTTTTTTTCCATTGCCGTTAGGCATTGTTCAAATGCAAAAGAACTGGCTGAACTCTTTCAGCTACTATTAAATCTCTAGCTCTAGAACTCAACAAGCACTGCTTTTGAAGTCAGACAAAGAGGGATTGGAATTTGAAATCAGATACATTTATGACTTGACTCATATTATTCAGTTATTGGCCTGAATTCCAATAAAAACTATGGAAAACCTCTTCTTTTTGCCCTAAATCAGTATTTTTGCTTCCTTTCAATACTTCATGAAACTGGACTTAAATATTGCTTTTAACAAAGTATGTGCATCAAATATAGTGGTCACAATTATCATATATCACTTCAGAACTACTTCTCTAGTATTATTACTAAACTATGCATGAAAATTTTTTGAATGTATGTTGCTTTATTTTTCACATTTAAAAATGAAATTGATATTTTTGTTGATATTTTTGTTAATTATCTTACTCCTTTGGCATAGATATAATTTTTAAGAATTATTTCTGCATTTCTTTTTACAGTAGCATGGGGTTAACTATAACCTACAGCTTAACTATAATTTTTAGAAAAGGTTCTTTTGTATGCTTGTTCCCATTATTTTATTTGGAAGACCCTTGATTTTAATCACATCATCTCTTACGTATTCTATAATTTTACCAGACTGAGAAAAGGAAAAGGGGAAGAGTGTTAAACCAAAATTTGGTCTGTTAAAATATTTAATAGATCATTATGCCATTGGCTTGATTTCTTGCCCTCCAAAAATTACTGAAGTTTTTTTTTCACCCCATATGAAAATACTGTTTCAACAGAGGTTATCTTTTTATAAAAAACAATTATATTGGAGCTACATCTAATAAAAAAATCATGGAGCAGATGAGAATCACTATTTTACAAGAGCACTGTTTTTATTTCTCAGTACTCTACAATTGGAGTACTAACTCACTGTACTGAGCGGTGATCACTCAGCAATACATGTGTGCCTTTAAACATAATACTGTCCAAGTTGTGCCTGTTACAGATCCTGATATATATGCCCCAGCCATGCTATGCAACCAAAGCACAGATTTTGTCCCACCTAAAGGATGAAGGGAAAATGTCAAAGTGCCTTTGAGAAGTCCATTTCCCTTCTCCCTTTTTAGCAGTGTTAGTTCTTAGATGATGGTTACTTACTAGCATTGCTGTTGATCTATTGAAATTCAATGTATGAAAATTATTTTGTTGTAATCTGTTTTTCTAAAATGCAATAGTGGAATGGTTTGATGTTTTCTGTTTAAATAAATTTTGACACTCAGTTGTCTCGATCCTGCTTAATTCTAATAGAAATTGAAGATATTTCAAGGAAAACATTCGAGACTGCTTGATTCTACATTTATCATGATCAGACATGGTCCACATTTTCACAGGCAATATTTATCTTCCTCCTGCTACTGCTGTTTTTTGAATATTTTCAGTAACGGGTGCTGCTTTATTTTTTAGAAATTCTACTGAAAGATATGAAAATCTTATAACACTTAAACCAATCATTTTTCCGTATATTTTATGTTGATTATACCTTTTACTCCTTTCAGCTTGTCATTATGGTTATACAGATTGTCCTCATTTAACAACCACTCATGATGCAACAACTTTGAATTTATGACAGGGCTAACCGAGTGGTATTTACAATAGGTCCTCAAGTTCCAGCCATCCCAGCAATCCTATGTTAATCTGATTGCTATTTGTGACCTTCACTGGCTTCCCACAAGCAAAGTCGATAGGGAAGCTGGCAAGGAAAGTTACAAGTCATCCAGTAAGTCACTTGCACTCTTTGCCCCTGGTGCACTCTTATTGCACCATGTAGATCACACCCCACAACCAGCAATAGACACCCCCACCACCTGCACATTCTCTGTTCAGGAACAGCCACCCAGGGTCTTGCTGTGCTATACCAGCTACCTGTGTATCTTCTGCTCAGCAGCAGCCAAGATACCTGGGACTTACTAAACAACCCGTGATCCTTGCTTATATAGCAACAGAGCATATGGGCCATTAATAAGTAATGTCGCATTATATCATGCTCTGTGACATTACTTAGTAATGGAAAACTTCAGTCCCAATGATCATCATTAATGGAAGACAGCTTATATCAAGAATATAAATTATACAACACCAATCAAGATGAGTAGCACATATCAATAACTTATATTCATTTGATATTGATTGAATCATACATAATTAGGCTTGAACAAAGAATACTGATAAGACCACCTTTCATTTATATAATAGTGTGCCTTGAAGAAAAACAGCTACATATCAGATAATTGATAAGGGGATTACATACCACTTTTTGGTTCCTGAGTATTGGGTATACAAACTTAGAAGATAAAAACCATTATAAAGTAGAAGAACCAGTACTATTCAAGCTCTGCTAAAATATACCTTTCTGGAAAATACAATAATCACTTCAGAACAGGTTAATGCATCTGCATGTTTGATTTAGTCATAGGGAAAAGACAGGGCACAATTTCTTTGGGAAGTTTGAACATTCTTATGACTTCATGATAGTAAATCTGTTTTCGGCAACTTCAGAAAACAACATGAAAAATAATATGGAAGAGGAGAAATCTCTCAATATTTAGTTCAAGTTCATTCAACGTACACTAGAATTATGAAGCACCACTTCTAATAACTTTTTTTAATCACCAACCTGTGCCATTTTATTTTTAAAAAAAACTTTGAAAAGATTGTCTATTTATTGATCCTGAACAAATAGGAAAAGCATGCTGCGGACCCCATGAGGTAAATAAATGTTTTTAGGTGGAATCAAGGAAGAAAGCCTTTTCTGCCAACACACCTGCTTATGGAACATTTTGCCCCCTAAAATGATGTTGGCTCCCCACTCTTCTGGTTTTCCAGAACAATAAGACCTGGCTCCATTAGCATGGGGAACCTATGATGGCATGCAACCCTGGGCTTCTAGCCTAGTGTCTTAAACACTAAGCCAAACTGGTGCTGTCTTTTTAGCTTCTTAACTTTGTTTTTAACATTGTCTATTTTTGTATATATGTTTTTATTTGTAAATTGCCCTAAGACATTTAGATAGATGGGGTGTATAAATTTGATTAATAAAAATAAAATAAGTGAGAATATGTAACAAATATTGCAATGGGTGATATATCATTTTAAAAAACATTTTGAGGTTCAGCTTAGATATACAATATCCAAAAAAGGTCTTCATGCAGAAATCTTTTTCTTACTGTATACATCAGACTTAGCCATATTAAAGCTATAGGTCAGCTTTCTAAAAGAAAAGGATGTGGTTCAAGGAAAATAAAACTAACCACTGCCTTCTCCCCAACACACATTATTTGAAATAACTTAAATCTATGTATGGTGCAAAAGACTTATAAAAACTTTCCTTTCTGAAACTGGGTAGAAAAATAAGAACAAGAAGTTGGTGAAAGCCAGATTTCCTGCTCAAATCCATTTGACATTTTGCTAGCGACATAGAATAATAGAACAGAGTTGGAAAGGACCTTGGAGATCTTCTGGTAGCTCAAGCAGGAAATCCTATACCATTGGTCGTCCATTCTCTTCTTGAAAATATTTAGTGTTCCATTAATTGTTCTAACTGTCAGGAAAGTTCTTGGTGGTTCTCTCCTTGATTACTTTCCATCCATTGCTTCTTGTTCTATCTTCACATACTATACTAAGTGTGTTACGCAAAATTTGTTTCCAAACAAAGCATTCATCGATATATTTTGACTTTCAGCAAATACTACATTTGCCTTTGCAAGCAACTTAGATTCCACATATTTTATTATAGATCATGTGTGTTGCCTGAAGACAGCTAATATGCTTATAAATATATTTATTCCATTTGTTTGCTCCTTGTTCTGGTTGACCTATTCCCAAATATTTTCACTGATCTTAAAGTTGCATAGAGCTGAAAATCAGGTACTACAATTATGCTATAAAAAACAATCCATCCAAACTTCCAGGTTTTTCTACAGCAATTTGTATAGATTACTTTAAAGTGAGGAAGACTAACCTTATGTAATGGGAAACAAAACTGACTGTAAAGCTTTTCCCAGCTAATGTAAATAGTAGTACATAATGCAATGAAATAACCTTTACTCTTCTCCAGCTATCATTCTAAAATTTAAATAGGAATTTTCTAGAACACGGGTGCTTTTTGTTATGGTACTAAGCAAAGAAATGATATCTGGCAGCTCATACAAGAAATAACTGATCTCAGATGCCATCAAAGAGTCACAAGTATAGAGCCATGATTTATAAGAACTTCATATTTTCTTCTGATTTTTAATAGGCCTTTTTGCAGGGCCCTTCTTCTATGTTCTAAGAAACGGACAAAAATTCCACTGCAAAATATGCAAGGAATCCCAGGGAACCATTTTTACAGAATACAAAATTTCAAGATGATAAAAACAAAGCCACTTTTTGTCCGTCTAGGTGCCTTGACCTGTAATATATAGGGGTTAATGATCACTTAATGGATTTCTCATTGGTTTTACACTGAAACTGCTCTATAGCATCAAACGGAAAAATTGCAAGAAACTGAAGTATGATTACACCAGTTGTAGATGTCATCTTGTCCATTTGCTAGCAATGTTTTTTTTGCTGTGGTGGTGGAGGTCTATTTTTAATGTTCTTGCACTTGGGAATATGTCTCTCAGCAACCTTAGGTGCAAACTGACGAGTACAATATGGACACAATTTGTAGTCTGGGTTTTCCATAGCTGGTGCTGGAGGAAGATCTGAAGCCTTTCCCCCTTTGGAGATGATGCGCTGCACTTCACGAGCCCTGCGCAAAGTCTTGATGAAAGAGTCATGCTTCTGTCTCCAATTGCTTTGTTTAGATGTAGCATTGCTTTGCTTGGGAGTCTCAGGACTTGGGCTGGAAGTTTTTCTCTGCAGCAAGAAGGGGAAGTGGGAAAAATAATTTAAAATAATCAATGCAACTTTGTTAGCTCATACTGTGATCATTCCTGTAACTAATTTTTTATGGTAATACCAATAGCATTTAGGCTTGTATAGCAATTTAGGCTATGTAAAGCCCCACAGTGCTTTACAGCACCCTCTGGGTGCTTTACAATGTAGAAGTATTATTTACATATTGCCCCCAGCAATCTGGGTTCTTTTTTCAACCTTCAACTCTAGGTTTTGGGCAGTTTGCCTGCAGTAGTGCACTTTAACCATTGTGTCACCAAGGCTATCTATAGATGTTGTTTATAGAAGTTATATTGTCATAATAAGTGTAGATTATTTCTAATGCCAGTTTGAATTTTTTAAATTAGATAACTGGGACTATAAAATGCATGTAAAGGGCGAACTTTATTAATTTTTTAAAAGTCATTTCCACTTCTTCCTTAGGTCATTTCAAGCTGATAATATAACATTCTTAATCTATGCCATCATTAAAATATCTCAATACTGTAACTGAATTGTGAATGAAACTTACTGCACTAGAATGTTATGAACTGGATAGTGTGAAGAAGATAAATTTTAATCCTACTACATTATTTTCCTTCATAATCCTAAATATAAATGATTTCATTTTATGGTTTTCCCTAGAACCAATTGTTATTCTGTCTTGTTGCAGTGACTTTTCAGCATTCATTACAGATTCTGTAACATAACGATTTTAACCATTTGTTTTTACATTCTCATTGCCTCCTAGTTTACAAATAATAACAGTTAAAAAAAACTTGCTTTGTATTTTTAGGCCAAGTATTAGTATCTTAAATAAACATTAATGGAGATTTTTGCCTTATTTTTTGATGCCTTCCAAACATCATTTTCAGCAGTCATCGTATTTATTACTGCATTTATATTATGGAAATTAAAAATTAATTATGGACCATCAAGTGATATTAAGAAAAGGCCTGTTTTAAAGAAAGGTCAGAAGAAAAAAACCAAATCATATCTTAACCAGATGCTGCTCTATAAGCTTAAGGCTGGAAAACTTAAGTTAGAAAATGCTTTAAGAACCCCCATATAAACCACAGAAGGATACATTTAATAAATTAGTATGCATATCACCTGTGAAATATATGAGCCCTTCAAGAGATGATATGTCTCCAGTTCAGTGCCCTTCGCTCTAGCCTTGCTTGAATCAAACACTTTTCTCTTGGATCCATGATTTTTTCTGCAAATATTCATGTGTTTCTCCAACCTGGAACAGTAAAGTCTCCGTCCACAAAAATTGCATTCTCCCCAATCTTCTATATCATTCTGGACCTCTATATATGATGGTTCTGCTGCCACCGATCCTGCATGACCTATTGGGGTT